GTATTCCCACAATCCGACAGCCATGGGATAACTGTCGGACGCGACAGCTTGAAAACGAGCGAAATCAGGGCTGTAGTCGGTAGGATAGAGTATACGGAAAAGCGTGTAAAAGCAGAAGGGTCATGGAGCCCCGGTCGAAAAGGACTTCGAATCTGCAGACTGACCATCCGCTGTTTGGGGTCGACTAGTCGCTTGGTGATCGGACAGCGACAGTTTCGGAACGAAACCAAGGAAAACCTACCCTGCGATTCCTTCAGACAGACCCTTGTAGTAGATTGTTAGTTAATAATTATTTCAACCGAGAAAAAGAACGCCGAGGCAAATTATAATGCGAATAAGAATATGATAATACGAATCATTGATGCGAAGCAAATATACGTATATTGTAATTTGCATGATGTTAATAAATAATGTTTATATACGGGAATACTCCTTAACGCGGAACATACATTAGCCCGGCTATTTTTCATAGGATTTGGTCTTTTTTTTGGTCTAGATATCCTAGCGTAATGCTCCTTTCAATCCTGTCTCGAAATTTTTTTTGGCATTTTTTTTCTTTTGAAAATATAACTTTAAAATTATAAGAATAACTGCACAAAATCACCAAGTATACGACCGATCCACTGAACGTCTACGACACAACTGAGTCTACTCTACTGACCGAGAAAACTGTTAGAAATGAAGGCCACAGCCAAATTTTACAAAGAGAACAAAATTTGAAAGAGAAGGAAGCAGCCGTCCGGCTACCTGCCTACCGCTCTCGGCCGGTTCAAAAAGGGCGCAGCGCACAGTTCTTTATCTTAATGAGTTTTACTCCAAATGACCTGAGGTTTGGGGAAAATATTTCTAAGAAGTTGTACTTTTATATGAAAAATTTCCAAAAAAACGGATTTTTCAAAGTGGTTATCCCATAACCTCTCCCCAAACGGGCTTCTGGAGCACTACTGTATTTTTGGACAATGCATAAAATAATTGATTGTTTCACAGTTGGCTCACCATTTTTGATAGTCTACACGTAAAATCAAATTAGAATTGTTTTTAATCATTAAATATGAACGCATTGATAAAATTTTAAATTGCGATTGGTGAATACTCTCATCGACCATTGTAAATCAAAGCTTAAGTACTTGGAAAATCTAACAGTTACTCAGAAAGCGAAATGTCGACGAATTAAAAACGTGTTTGTATTTTGATACATTGTTAGATGGTCGTTTCTTGATCCAAAGTAACCCGTTCCCCACTTACTTCATTCATATGCAGAATTTGTCGTTCTTACCGCATTCGTAAAACCCTTTTGTTCAGAGCGTTTTATAAATTATATAAATACTTTAAGTTTACGTATACAAAGAGTGGACTGGTTGGCTCCACGAGATATGAGTTTGCAAGTTTCCGTGAAGTTGCCCAGGAGTTACGCTCACGTTTGCATAATTTCACCGAAAGAGATATCCCGCAGGCGTTAGCGACTTATTAGCACAGCGGTTCCCAACCTGTGGGTTAGTATTATTTTTTATCACAAAATAATAATTTTAATATGATTACATCGCTGTATTCTGTTAATGACGAAGCTACATTCGTTTGAAATCCATTTTCTACTTTCTTACATTTTTTCTTTATTTCATTAAAAATGATTTTATCCCACATGAGAAGAAATCGGTTATTTGAATATCATTAAAGGGGATCTAGACTCCAAACATGTTGAGAAGCACTGTATTAGCATATCAACGGGTCAATATCGCCAATCGTTTGTTTATGCGATCTGCCGGTTGTGACCGTTTCAAAGCGGAACCGGATTTATAAACCGACCAGACCGTACGCGTAATATCGTGTGTATTTTCGTACTCCGATTCTATTCCCAGACGATTCGAAAATTGTGTATTTTTCATTTTACTCTGAATCATCATATACAAATTGCCGGTCATTTACTATTAGATATAGGTTCGCTTGGATAAGAAGTTAATGTGTATTTAACATTGTCTTGTGATTGTTTGCTTTTTTTATTTATTTAAATTTCATAATTAGCTAATGAACGTTCTAATATCTATATGGAAATATATATTAACACTTTGCCGTCCGCACGTCTCGTAAAAATTTATTCGCTTGGCGCCGGCAGCGCTAATTCGGATTACTTGGCTTGTCGCCGGCCGTTTTTGACATTTTCGCGAGATTATAGATTGTTAAATTTTACTAATCTCATCGTTAGTTCTCATAAGTTCTCAACCCTGTTTCCCTACTTTCATGAAATTTTGAAGATATACATACGTAAATAAATACAAAATTTGTTTGTTTTATATATTTGTTTATTTATATTTTCTTTGGTATTTTATTTGGTTTTTTTTATTTGTCTGCCATGATGAAAGGGCACAAATACTTATAAAAACAAACAACTTGTTGACGTATGTAACTTATTGTTACCTAAACAAAACACCTACAGAATGCAAAAGATACTAAATTGCTGCCGCTAGCCACTGTGCAGTACTACTATGCACACACCACTGTGGTGTCGCCGGCCGTGGACCACTATTTCGCGTAAGACACCACTGTGGTGTCGCCAGCCGTTGACAGCTATTTCGCGCACGACACCACTGTGGACACAGTGTGGTGTCGCCGGACGGCATAGTGTTAATAATATTAGTTTCTTATCTAATGGAATATGTAGATATAAAATTTATAGGACTGATAACGACGGCGTTATCAATTTTACTGTATTTCAGCTGACCGTGATTGTACATATGAAAAGAGTGTAGCAATGAAATATTTAATATTTAATAAAGAAGTTCTTACCCTCTGCCACACGAAGACGTTATGGACCATTGCACATCCACAGAACACGATTCCAAGTCCTATGAATACCGACGTGACGATTGCCGGTGTCGAATGAAACTGGATGAACGTGTACAATATCATACCTGAAACCATTGCCGACATATCATGACGCGTGTATCGTAAGCAAATAAGTATTGTCGATTCATGTTAGAGTTTTCCGAGCTAACACAAAAGATTTTGTAAGCTGCACGATACGTAAATTCTCAAATACTGATTGACGAAATCGCAAATAGTCAAGTACAATTTTATTAAAACTGAGCATGCTTTATTCTATTATTCGTGATATGATTATCACTGCATGATTAATTCAATAATTAAAAATGTATAGTATTATTATATGATTTATTTAATGATTGAAATTAATACAAAAGTTAAACTTGCTAAAGAACAATGAACGTTGTCTTAAAAACGAATGAAATCGAAGAGATCATCTCTTACCGGTTAGAAATACGGGAATGCTAATGAAGAAGCCTCCGACAGCGCATATTCGACTGATGGACGATTTTTGCAGGTACTTGTTACTCCTGAAACAAAGAAAAATCGAAGAAATATCAGCTTCGCGATTTCACGATAATTCGACGAAATACGGAGGAATGAGTTTTTCAAACGCTTATTAATATGTATATCGAATATCAAATATATTGTGGCGGCTGGTCGCTGCCATGCCTTCTTTTAGGTTCTTCGCTTTTCTGTATTTCTATCCTAAGTTTTCATTATCTTATTCCCTATTTTTCATTAGTCACGCCGATCTTCGCAGCCTTGTACACATTTGGCGGTCAGGCTCGCGTGATCCACTCGTTAGTTTCTTGAGTATTTCCAGCTTTTTTCTTATTTTCTTGTCGTTGGTGTTTCTTTCCCCAGGGTTCTTCCAGGTTTGGTTAATCTCTTCTGTCTAGCTAGGCCTTTGAGGACCTTTTCACTTTCGATTTTTATTACTGTGTCCCGCTGACTTGATTCAAAGTAACTCTTGATACTTTCGAACTCTCTCGTACACTTCCGTTTTCCCTCCTCTTCGTCGGTTTTCTCTTTCTTTCCATTTCTATACTTTTCCCTTTTTGCTTCTAAGCGATCGCTTGTTCACCCTCGTGACTAATCTTGAGCAAAGTTTATTATCATTATACTATATCGCTGACTGTACTAATTAAAACAGTAATTGATTTTCTTAAATTTTAATTAATTTGTAAAGTACGGCTTTAAGAGATTATATCTTTATCCACACGCTTATGAATATAATGGCTGTGGAAAATATCCGAACATCTTTCAGAGCGGAAAATATTTTTAATATTGGATCAAACAATATAATTGTCTGTGGGATATTAAAAGACTCAGTTTACTATGTAATGTATAAAAAAAAATTTGTTATTTCATTAGTCGGTATCGCGAAAAAACGTAAATGTTAGGTTTTTGTAACTTTTTATTGGGATCTCTAATAAAAATTTGAAACATCCCGTTTATAGATATGCATAAATAGATTATATGTATGTACAAACTTTCGTAAAAATCGGTTGAAACACAGAAATGTTAGGAAAATCGAAACATGTAAAAATGTTTCGATTTATATTAAAATAATTCAGTTATAGACGCCAAAGTCGTTAAAAGTTGCGATTTTCTTTAGAGGTTTGTAGCTTATATCAGTATTAACTAATGTTTATGGAACTTTGTACATGCATACAATTTACTTAAATCTACAAACAGGATGTTTCAAATGTTTATTACAGATTACATGGTAAACTAGATCTTCTATCATCTGACAGAAAATGATTTTGTTTGATTCAATATTAAAAGAGTTATTCCGTGTTAAAAAGTGTTCGAATACCTTCGTCATTTATTGTATACATACATATCGAATATCACATACATACAAACATATAAAAGTCGTGCAATATCAATTTTAAAAATGAAGTTTCGGAAGAAATTAATTTCCTCCTGTAAACATTGTGATATGCATTCTGCTCTTGATGTCACGTGTGCTTCTATAAATAATTTTATTACTTTGTTGTTCAAGTTTTCCGCTTGAATAGATTTCCCGTAAATTGCATAAAATCAGGAGTGTAATTATTTTTAAAAGCTAGAAGCAGTTCATTTGTTAAATTTACAACACGAATGTTTTATTCTGCATGAAAATCGACATTATTATAATCCAATTACGGTTGTCGTATAAGATTGCAGTAAGGAAGTTCCGAGAATTTGGTCGAACTTCTTTTAAGCACCCAGGACCCGTTCAGTTTAAGCGTTCCCGCGCAAAAACAGACGGGTACGTGCTGATTTTAAACAAGCCTTATCCGAAAGGGGCACAATGAACAATTCCCACGAAACCGTTGCGTCCATCCCCTTCCGAGGTCGACGACCTCTTTAGACGCGTTTCAAGTGCACCGGTACCAACGAGGCTACGACTTCTAGCACTAATTTCACGTTTACCAGCGTAAATTTAACCTTCCGCGATTTGTATATTCAAGGAACGCTCCCATTTTCCGCTTTCGCCTTGCTGCGTGAGTGAAAGCGTCAACATCCAAGAGTAAAACTGTCTCACTAAATTAATGGGACATGGGGGGAAAAATGTTCCAACGAAGGCGTGTTTTGGTTTCGTAATTCGTAACCTAATTTTGGTGGAGTTCGAAGAAACTTTCAATTCTACATTTTTGAGACATATTGTTTTCTCACTATACTTCGTTTAATTAGTCGAGTTAGTAACTAATTGTAAATAAAAT